CTGTTCAGACTCGGATGTGGTACTGCCTTTGATACTCAGCTCTGGCTTATAACTGAGCGGGCGGTGGTTCTGATGTAGTCTCGGGCCGCTGTTCCCACCGGGAGGCAGCTGCAACGCCCGTGTAGCTCTATGAGGGACAACAGCATCAGGATTTTCACGGCACTACAGTGGCTCGCACACAAAGATGTGTAACTCAGCGGACATCTACAGGCTCAGCTTAAATATGAGATTGGCCAACATTGGATAACAGTATTCTATTAATTTTTCTAACGTCTAAGGACTTCACGGAATGCAGAAAACCAAAGCGTTCTCTCCCAAACTTCAAATATACTTGATGCTCCATAAGGGGAGCTATATACTTATATTTAACTCTCTATGGTATTCAGAAAGAATTAAACACAAAATATCAGTTTATAGGACAGACCAAGATGTTCTGGCTGGGAATAAGTAAACATAAGAGTTGTGAATGAGCTCATCTTAATGAAGAAACTTGTTCTGGCATCTTTTTTTTTTTTTTTTTTCCTGAGCACAAACACTTTGCCATCTGTTTACTTTGTTAACATTGCATAAGATATGCTCACATGCTGGCTTTTTATGTTGAATGCTCAGTGTGAGGAGAAAAACCTCACTTTGAGCACGTTTGGATCTTTCAGAGGCTTCATATTTATAATTGTCCTGTGTTCTGCCTCTGGACTCAGGAGGTCGGAAGCTGAAGAGGGAGTCAGAAACGACGCGAACTCACTGCCGAGAAATTTCAGTTTTACGCCAACAGGCTACCTATCCCCAAAGTCTCAAAAGTTAGGGAGAGAGTTCCAGTCCAAGATGGCAACGTGGGAAGACACTGAACTCACCTCCTCCACGGACACACCAAATCTGCACCTATTTATAGAGCCATTCCTCCTGAAGATCTGAGGGCTGACTGAGCAGCTTCGGCACAGCTAAAGATAGAACAGCAGGAAAAACAAAGCCGCGCTAATGCAAACGAAGGGCCCTGGAGGAACTGGGGTGGCAGGGATAGTTCTGAGGGACCGGGAGCAAATCTGTCCGCCTTGCAGCACAGACAAAAGCCCTGGTTTAAAAGGGCAACTAGAATAGAAAAGATCCAGTCTTAGAACTCCTCCAATGGTGGGAGTGCTCCTGGAACTCTCTCTGCAGGGAGGAGCTGGCAAGGGCCTCGGGTTCACGCCCCCCCTCCCCCCATAGCGCACAGGGGGCAGGGCCTTGGGGCCTCAGAGCTGACCTGCCTTCTCAGTGCACATTAGTTTGAGAGCTTCTCTCTTCAGAAAGATACATAAACTTTAAATATAAACAGGGATGCCCGGGTGGCTTAGTTGGTTAAGCATCTGCCTCTGGCTTGTGTCATGATCCTAGGGTCCTGGGATCGAATCACACACCAGGCTCCCTGCTCAGTGGGGAACCTGCTTCTCCCTCTCCCTCTGCCTGCTGCTCCCCTTGCTTGTGCTCTCTCTCTCTGACAAAATAAATCTTTACATATATATATATATATATATATATATATTTGTTAAATATATATATCTTTAATGTCTTTATATATATATTTGTTATATATATGTGTGTGCGTGTTTATATATATGTATGTGTGTATATATATATATATATATATATATATGAACAATATATGTGAAGCCTTTCTACTCTATTAAAATTTGCCACCAGTGTTAAGCTTATTTATAAAGAGAATGTTTGTGAGGAAAAAAAAAAAAAAAAAAGACAGGCATCCTGAATCCCCACTGACAATCTGGGTAAAATCTCCTGTTTTGGTCTTCCGTTTAACCTGTCAATACTCCATAACCACACTCCCAGAGTTCAGCACGGAGAGGAAGATACACACGTCCTGCTCACCTGGTCACTTTGTCATTACCCCCACTCCCCTGCCATCTTCCTCCCACCATCCTACTGGGCTGAGTGAAGTGGGCTTCTTCTCTCTTGCAAGAGTTTTCCTGCCTCATCTTCTTGTTGTGGCAGCATTTGTCCTCTCCCTTTCAGACGTCTGGGTCCGCACTGATTTGGGTGGATCCCAAGTCTAATGGGATCCTCCTTCCCTTTCATATAGTACTCCTAGCTTTTGCTCTGGTTACCAGTGCCTCTGCTATTCCCTGTAGCTCTGATCTCCACTGATCTTCCTGTAGTCCCCACAGTCACATGGATACTGGACCTCTGGGAGAGAAGGGCATTTCTGCATCCCCGTTCCTCGGCAAGGCAAAGTCCCCCTGCCCCCGCAGTGTCTCACCTTAGCTTTCAGATAGATAGTGTCCCTCACTTGCTTCTGTCTCTTGCTCCAGGCTGGTTTCTCAATGCTCCCTTTGATGTGCTTTAAAGAGTTGCTAACTAGTTCTTTCCTAGGGTAGAGTGTGTCTTCTCTGCTCTTGTCTTCAGCATCTAGGTCTTGTTTCACTTGTGGTCATGGGCCATTTTCTGATATAGCCTGTCTGCATAAAAAAGTCTCCTGACCTTTCCCTATTTCAAAGCCCTTTGTGGTGAGCAATCCTATTCCCTACTTCCTAACTAAGCTGGGATTTTTGTTCTGGTATCCTCACCTGGCAGTCCGGGTATTTAAGTCAGATATTCTCAGTTGGGGCTGTAGAGGTGGGGAGGCCATTCTGCCCCCAAGAAGACATTTGGCAATGTCTGGAGACAGTTTTAGTTGTCACGAGGATGGCGTGTACTACTGGTTTCTAGTAGGTAGAGGTGAAGAATGCAGTTAAACATCCTAGAGGACAGCCTCTAACAACAAAGAATTACCCGGCCTGTAACATCAACAATGTTAAGTTTGAGAAACAGGTCTTAGAGGAAGAAGATCTAGTTCTGTAAGTAGGCCTGATTGATCTGTAAGTAGGCTTGATTGATCTGCAGGTAAATCTACTCCTTTGCAGTGACTGATATAACAATAAGTAAATGATCCACTCTACACCAGTGAAATATGAGAAGTTACTGGGTGCTCCTGAAAAAGTCCTTCCTTTCGGACATTTTCAGGTGAGGGTGTCAAACTAATTCACCTCACATCAGCACTGGAAGTAAAGCAGAGTCAAGGGAAGGCAGGGAAAAGGACCAGAGCCACCAGACTCAGTCAACCCTGAAGCCCACCCTTCTGCTCAACTTGCAAAGAGAGGAGCTTCTTTATTATTTAAGCATGTTTTGAGCTCTATCTTGTTGTTATTTGCAACCATGTGAATCCTAACCGATGCATCTTTACTTTCTTTCTCCCTCTACCCCTTCTTCCCTCCTTCTCTCTTTCTCCCTCCCTTCCTCTCTTTCTCTTTCTCTCTCTCTCCCTTCCTTTCCTCTCCTCTCCTCCTCTCCTTCCTTCCTTCTTTCTACCATTCATTCATTCATTCATTCATTCATTTCTGCTTGCCACCTGAAGGGTGCCTGTAGCTCGTAGCTAATTTTCAGAGCCTTCTTGATCTTGGATAATGATCTGGCTAAAGATCTCAGTTCTGTCCACTTATATTTAATTGTTCAGGAAACTCTTCCAAACATGGAAATTCCTTATTATTATTACAATATTATCATTACAATAATTTACATTACATAATAAAATGTCTTCACTCATACAATAAAAATAACAGACCATTCTTTCACAGAGCACTAATGGGATCTGATTAGTCAGGCTTTCTAAGTTCAGTGGAGACCTAAACTAAGAGCAAAACTTGGAGAACACCAGAAGAAAAAGGATGAGATCCAGAGAGAAGACAAATTCATTTACATATTCTATGAATACAAGGGAAAGTAGGACTTCAGATTTTAAAGACACTAGAGCTGGTGTCCTTTCACAGTTGAAATGTTATCAAAACCAATTGCCTGGGTGGCTGGAAAAATAAACATGCTGACATTGAGGAAGACAAAAAATCAAAGGAAGGCAGGAGAAGCAGCCCTCCAGCAGAGTGAGAAATGTTCCTGCTGGGTGTGTAGGGGACGGGTTTGTGTCTTTCTAATATTCTGTGGGCTCATTTAAGTACAGAAAATACAGAACTAAACATCTGCTGTATGTGACTTAAAAATCAAGTTTCATTTCATCGTTCCTTTTCCAAATAAGCACTCTATGCCAAAAAACTTACAAACACTGAGTAACTCACACTGATTTAGACTTTTCAAAAATGAGGACATTTACAAAAGGTATAAACTTCCAGTTATAAGATAAATGAGTCCTGGGGATGTAAGATGCCGCCTGGTGACTATAGTTCATGCTACTTTTCATATATTTGAAAGTTCCTAAAAGAGTAGATCTTACAAGTTCTCATCACAAGAAAAAAAAATTGTAACTGTCTGTGGTGATGGATGTTAACCAGACTCACGGTGCTGATTGTTTTGCAATATATACAGATACCAAATCATTGAGTTTATACCTGAAACTTACACAGTATTACTGGTCAATTATTTCTCAATTAAAAAAATGAGGACAGTTAAATTTTTTAAAGACTTGATAAAAAGATCAGGTAATTTAATTCCTTTGTTCAAATTATCAGAGTGGAGGAAAGGGCATCTTACGATGGTCAAATAATCAAAGAGTTATTATACTCTTTATTATACTAATTAGTTTCAGACATTTCAGGTTTTTAGCTACGTGAACAAAAAAAAAAGCCTCTTTCTCAATTTGGGAAAAGTGAGCTCTGTATTAGAGTTGACACAATAAATTCTTACTTTTGTTCACAAGTCAGTTTGGGGACAACAATTTACATCTTAGAAAAGACTCAACTTTTAAAAAAAGATGAATGGCTGATAAATGGTATGGGTAACTGCAAGGGACACTCCGAGCAAAGGTTTTTAGCATGAGCTCCACAGCTCAGTAATTACCAACTGTGAGAACTGGTTCTCACTAGCTCTGCTTTCTGTAGAAAGAGTGCAGATTAGCTTACTCTGTGGGAGAGGACGAGAGAGGGTTTGGAAATTACAAAGGGCAAAGAGAGAAAAGTACCACCAAATGGGATGTTGCCACACCCTCGATAATCATTTGAATTTGAAACCAGGGTTTTTCTTACCATCACTGGAACCAAAGCTTCCATCGATGGATTTTCTTTGAAACCTGTAAACAAACGCACACACATGCTTCTAAGATAATGAAAACCTCAGCCTTTTACATTTGTTCCCCATAGACTTTGTTGCCGAATTGTCTGCTAGAATCTCTTAAAAATGAGCCTTTGCATGTGGAGAAACTGCACTCTGACACACTGCTGGCCGGACTGTAGAACGGTGTAGCCACTTTAGAAAACTCTTTGGCAGTTCCTCAGAAAGTTAAACATAGACTTATCATATGGCCAACTCCACTCCTAAGCATGTTTCTACGTGCATAAATTCATTAATTTATTCTCAGATTCCTTTATTTTCAGATAATTCACACACCATAAAATTCACCCTTCAATGTGTACATTTCAGTGAATTTTAATATGTTCACAAAACTGTGCAACTATGCAAATGAGTGGTTCGGTTAGTTAAGCGTCTGCCTTCAGCTCAGGTTATGATCCCAGGGTCATGGGATCGAGTCCTGCATCAGGCTCCCTGCTCAGTGGGAAGCCACTTCTCCCTCTCCCTCTACTTGTGCTCTCTCTCCAACAAACAAACAAATAAATAAATCTTTAAAAAACCCACAATACTGTGCCACTATCACTATTATCTAATTCCAGAAATTTCCATCACCCCCCCAAATTAAAAACCTATTAGCAGTCACTCCCCAATACCCACTTCTGTACATTTCAGACAACCACAAATCTACTTTCTGTCTCTCTATATTTGCCTGTTCTGGAAGTTTCATGTAAAACATACTAAATGTCTTTTTCCGACTGGCTTCATTCATTAAGCATAATGCTTTCAGAGTTCATCTATGTGTAGCATGAATCAATACATCAGTCTTTTATGATTGAATAATACTCCTTTGTATGGTACACCATGTTTCATTTATTTGTTTACACTCGGACATTTGGTTGTTTCCATGTTTTGGCTATCAGGAATAGCACTGCTATGAACATTTGAGTACAAGTTTCTGTGTGGATATGGAATTCTCTTGGGTATACCTAGGTACGGAGGTGTTGGGTATTAGGTAACTGTATTTTTTTTTTTTTTTTCAAAACTTTCCACAGTAGCATTATAGCAGGAACTATTTTGCATTCCTACTAGCATTGTGTAAGGTGTCAATTTCTCCACAACTTTACCCACTCTTGTTGTTTTCCATTAAAAAATACTGTAGTCATCTTAGTGGATAAGGAGTGATATCTCATTGCTGTTTTGATTTACATTTCCCTGATGGCTGATGATGTTGAGCATCTTTTCATATGCTTGTTGGCCACTTGTTTATCTTCTTTGGAGAAATATCTATTCAAATCCTTTGCCCTTTTTATTTATTTTTCTTTGTATCGTTGGCTTATAAGAATTCTTTATATAGTATGGATACTAGACTCTTAACAGATATGTGTCACAAACATTTTCTCCCATTTTGTGTTGTGTTTTCACTTCCTTTTTTTTTTTTTTTAATTTTTTTAAAAGATTTTTCTTTATTCGACAGACAGAGATCACAAGTAGGCAGAGAGGCAGTCAGAGAGAGCAGAAGGGAAGCAGGCTCCCTGCGGAGCAGAGAGCCCTTTGCAGGGGCTTGGTCCCAGGACCCTGAGATCATGACCTGAGCTGAAGGCAGAGGCTTAACCCACTGAGCCACTTCCTTGATAGGCTCTTTAAAAGTACAGAAGTTTTGGGGTTCCTGGGTGGCACAGCCGGTTAAGCGCCTGACTCTTGGTTTCAGCTCAGGTCGTGATGTCAGGATTGAGAGATGGAGCCCCATGTTGGGCTCTGTGCTCAGTGGGGAGCCTGCTTGAGATTCATGTTCCCTCTCTCTCTGCCCCTCCAGCTCCCATTCTCTTTCTCTCTCTAAAATAAAATAAATAAATCTTTTAAAAAAAAAAGAAGAAGAAGAAGAAGCACAGAGGCCCCTGTGTGGCTCAGTCAGTTAAGCATCTGCGTCGGCTCAGTTTATGATCCCAGGGTTCTGGGATGGAATCCCACATCAGGCTCTCTGCTCAGCAGGGAGTCTGCTTCTCTCTCTCCCTCTGCCTGCTGCCCCCTCTGCTTGTGTTCCCTCTCTCTGTCAAATAAATAAATAAAATCTTTTAAAAATTTTTTTAAAAAGTACAAAAGTTTTAATTTTGATGAAGTCTAATTTATCTATATTTTTTCTTTTGTTACTTATGCTTCTGGTGCCCTAAGAAATTATAGCCTAATCCAAGGTTACAAAAGATTTACACCTATGTTTTCTTCTAAGAGTTTTATAGATTTAACTCTTATATTTAGATCTTTGATCTGAGTTCATTTTTTAAAATATTTTATTTTATTTAAGTTTATTTTTACTTTTTAAAGATTTTATTTATTTATTTGACAGAAAGAGAACAAGTGGGCTCAGCGGCAGGCGGAGGCAGAGGGAGGCTCTCTGCTAAGCACCATGTGGGGCTCGATCCCAGGGCCTTGGTATCATGACCTGAGCCGAAGGCAGCCGCTTTAACTGACTGAGCCACCCATGCACCCCAAAGATTTTTTTTCTTAAGTAATCCTTACACCCACTGTGGGCCTTGAACTCATGACCCAGAGATCAAGAGTCACGTGCTCTGCTGATTGAGCCATCCAGGCACTCTTGAGTTAATTTTTTCCTATGGTGTAAGGTAGGGGCAAAACTGTGTTCTCTTTCAGGTTGATACCCAGTTGTCTCAACAATATTTGTTGGAAAGAATATCCTTTCTCCATTGAATTATCTTGGTACCCTTGTTAAAAATAGGATCATAGATGTAAGGAGTTTATTTCTAAACTCTTGATTCTATTCCATTGATTTATATGTCTTTCCAAAGTTTTTGATTATGCAGCTTTGTAGTAAGTTTTGATATCAAAAGATGTAAGACCTCCAGTTTTGTTCTTTTTTTTTTTTTCTTTAATGACTATTTTACTTATTCTGGGTCCCTTGCATTTCCCTATAAATTTTAAGATCAGTTTGTCAGTTTCTGTAAGAAAGTCAGCTGGGACTTTGATAGGGATTGTTTTGAATCTATAGATCAGTTTGGGGAGTATTGCCCAATGTGTTTTAGTTTCTGTTGCTGCTGTAAAAAATTATCACAAACTTAGTGGCTTAGAATGATATAAATTTATTATCTTACAGTTCTGGATGTCAGAATTCCAAAATGCATCTTATATGGCTAAAACCAAGGTAACAAGCAAGGCTGTATTCCTTCCAGACTCTCCTGGGGGATTATACTTTTCCTTGCCCTGTCTAGCTCCTAGAGGCCACCTGCATTCCTTGACTCATAGTCCCTTCCTCTACCGTCAAAGTGCACTGCTCCAACCTCTGCTTCCATCATCACATTTCCTTCCGCCCTTGACCCACTTGCCTCCCTCTTACAAGGACTCTTGTGATTAGATTGTACCCACATGGATAATCCAGAACAATGTCCATAATTTATTACATCTGTAAAATTTCTTTTTGCCATGTAAAGTAACATGTTTACAAGTTCTGGATGTTAGGATTTGGACATCTTTTGGGGACCATGATTTTACTACACCATCTTAGTAATATTCAGTCTTCCAAACCATGAACATAGGATATCTTTCCATTTATTTAGGTCCTCTTTAATTTGTTTCAAGGATGTTTTGTCATTTTCAGTATACAAATCTTACATTTAATTTGTTAAATTTATTAAGTTTATTATTATTATTATTTTAAAAAGATTTTATTTATTTATTTGACAGAGAGAGATCACAAGTAGACAGAGAGGCAGGCGGAGAGGGGGAAGCAGGCTCCCCACTGAGCAGAGACCCTGGATGTGGGGTTTGATCCCAGGACCGTGAGATCACGACCCGTGCTGAAGGCAGAGCCACCCAGGTGCCCCAGTTTCTTATTATTTTTAAAAATATTTATTTATTTTGGAGAGAGAGTGTGAGCAGAGGGAGGGGCAGAGGGAGAGAGAGAGAGAATCCTCGAGCAGACTCCCTGCTGAGTGTGCATGGGCATCCCCACCCCATGTGGGGCTCGATCCCAGATCAGGACCTGAGCTAAAACCAAGAGTCAGACACTCAACCTAATGAGTCACCCATATGCCCCTAGTATTTTATTATTTTTGATACTATTGAAAATGGAATTGTTTTCTTAACTCCATGTTTGGATTGTTCATTGCTAGTGTGTAGAAATACAACTGATTTTTGTATATCGATCTTATATCCTGTAATCTCGATGAAAGTTTCTTTTTGGAGGTGATGAAAATCAAATAGTGGTGACGGTTTTTGCAACTGTGAATATACTAAAAACCACTGAACTGTATACTTTAAAAGGGTGAATTTTATGATCTGTGAATTATATTTCAGTAAAGCTTTTACTAAAAAAGCCAGGTATATCATTTGGGAATGTCCGTGAAACACTAAAATGTGAATTACCATCTTCTCACAAAAGGAGCGTCTCTTTTGGATGTGAGGTAGAGTCAGGGAGGAGGAAAGTTAGGGGTTAGACATGCTTGTGCTTTGGTACGTGCTCTTGTTTACTTCCAGATGGCAACTCTAGAAGTTGCACACTCCTGTTCCTACTATGTTTGGTGGAAGAACTTCTCTTCATACCTCTTTTGTTCCTAGACACAGCAAACTCATCCCTGCCTCAGGGCCTTTGCTATTGTTCTCTGTCTGGGCCACTCTCACCACATTCTCACATGGTTGGCTCCTTTTTGCTATTGAAGTCTCACTTCTGAGAGATCTTCCTTGCTGAACAAATCAAATCTAAAGTAGCTTTCCCAATCCATTCTCTATCACACTACAGTTTTTTTTTTCTCCTCCTGTCACTAGCTGAAATTATTTGCTTTATTAATTGCTTACTTGTGTGTTTTTCCTTTGTATAATATAAGTTCTTTTGGAGCCGGATCTAGACTCTCTTGTTCACCACTGCATCCTTAAGCTCTGGGACAGAGCCTGGCACATAGGAAATTATAACTAAATGTTTGTTGAACGAAAAAAACATATTTTTAAAGAGAGCAGCTACAATTTGGCTTAACTGTTTTAGCTGGCAAATGAAGC